GGGGGGGGCTCTCTTCTCTGCAGTTGGTCTGGCAGTTCACAGGCGGCCAAAAGGCGGTGAGAGAGAAAAACAGAGAGAAAGTACAATTGGTCAAATGACAGATTTTCAACCTTTCTTTGTTTTTCATACCTCCCTTTTGGATTTATTGCATGATTTTTAATTTTTCTTTTTCCATACCTAAAGTACTCTTTAAACAAAAAATATAGTAGGAGTATATAGTACTTTAAGGGGTCGTTCGGTTGGAATATGATTTATATCGGTATAAGTTATATTGGGATAAGTTATGCTTGGATTAGTTATGCTGGGATTGTTGTTTATTTATTGTTTGATACGTTGTACTAAGAATGACAATTGCATAATTTCTAAGAAGAATGTATAAGTTATACCAGTGTTAATTACCCCATCTTCTATAAGGTATAAGTTATCCTGGTATTAAAATTAATACCGAGATAACTTATACCTGGTTTGCTAACCAAACAAGGTATTAAGGTGGTATTAAATTTTTATACTATCCTTATATTTTCTTATACCTCATACCAAACGACCCCTAAATTGGCAAAGGAACAATATAGTAAGAATTAATTTATACCCACCATCTATTATTTTTTAGAGTGATAAATTAAGATAAGAAAATATATATATATATATATATATAATATCTTACTCCCTCAGATTGACTATCTTCTTCTCAGGAGATGTGACAGAGGGTTGTACAAGGATTGCAAGGTTAATCTAGGTGAGATCCTCGCGACGCAACATAGGCTTTTGGTGATGGACGTCAATATAATGGTAAGGAGGAAGAAGAGGTTTATACGAGGATGACCAAGGATCAGGTGGGGTGCCCTAACTAAGGATAAAGCTCAGGAGTTGGGAGGAAGGTTATCAGCTATGGGAGCCTGGAAGAGTAGTGGGGACGCGAGCATTAAGTGATCGACGATGGCGGACTGTATAAGGGAAGCGGCGAAAGAAATGTTAGGGGTCTCGTCGCGCTACTCTGGTGGGCACAAAGGCAACTGGTGGTGGAATGAAGTGGTCCAAGGTAAAGTGGAAGCGAAGAAGGCGGCGTACATGAAGTTAGTAGGGAGCACTAGCGAGGAGGAGAGGAGAGCGAACAGTGAGAGGTATAAGGTTGCTAAGAAGAAGGCGAAGCTGGCGGTCACGGAGGCTAAGACTACGGCTTTTACTCATCTGTACGAGAAATTAGGGGATAAAGACGGAGAAAATAAGTTATTCCGGCTGGCCAAGGCGAGAGACAGGAAGGCTCGGGATTTGGACCAAGTGAGGTGCATCAAAAACGAGGACGGTAGAGTATTGATGGGGAGGACCAGATTAAGCGGAGATGGCAGACCTACTTTCCTAAACTTCTGAATGAAGAAAAGGGTCGGGAAATTGTGCTAGGTAAATTGGGGCATTTTGAGAGTCACCGTGACTTTAGGTATTGTAGGCGCATTAAAGTTGCGGAGGTCGTGGAGGCTATGAGATGAGTAGGGGCAGAGCTACCGGGAGTATAATTTTAGAGGTGTGTGGGTAGAGTAGGTTTGGAGTGACTGACTAGGTTGTTTAATGTTGTTTTCGGGACGAAGAAGATGCCAGAGGAGCGAAGGTGGAGTACGGTTGTTCCATTATACAAGAACAAAGGTGATATCCATAGTTGTAGCAACTATAGGGGTATCAAATTACTGAGTCATACTATAAACGTTTGGGAGAGGGTGGTAGAAGTGAGGGTGGGGAGGACTGGGTTTATTTTAGACAATCAGTTCGGGTTCATACCGGGGCGTTCTACTGCAGGAGCTATCCATCTTATTAGGAGATTAGTGGAACAGTACAAGGATAGGAAGAAGGATCTTCACATGGTGTTTATTGATCTGGAGAAAACGTATGATAAGGTTCCTAGAGAGGTTCTATGGAGATGTCTGAAGTCAAAAGGTGTGTCATTTCTTACATTATGGTGATTAAGGATATGTATGATGGAGCTAAGACTTGGGTTAGGATAGTGGGAGGCGACTTAGAGCATTTTTTTTTATTGTTATAGGGTACACCAAGGATCTGCGCTCAGCCTATTCCTATTTGCCCCTGGTGATGGATGCACTGACACACCATATTCAAGGAAGGTGGCATAGTGTATGTTATTTGCTGAGACATATTTTTGATTGATAAGACACAAGGCGGCGTCAACGAGAGGCTGGAGGCTTGGAGACAGGCCCTTGAGTCTAAGGGTTTCAAGTTGAGCAGGACTAAGATGGAATATCTAGAGTGTAAATTCAGCATCGAGCCAACGGAAGCAGTATTGGACGTGAGGCTTGGATCACAAGTCATCCCCAAGAGGGGCAATTCCAAGTACCTTGGATCGATTATACAGGAAATGGGAAGATTGACGAGGATGTCACACACCGTATATGGATGGGGTAGATAAAGTGGATGTTAACGTCTGGAGTCCTGTGTGACAAGAAAGTACCACCGATACTCAAAGGTAAGTTTTATTGAGCGGTGGTTAGACCGGCTATGTTGTATGGGGCTGAGTGTTATCCAGTTAAGAACTCACATATCCAAAAGATAAAAGTAGCAGAAGTGAGGATGTTGAGGTAGATGTGCAGGCACACTAAGATGGATAAGATTAGTAATGAAGATATTCAGGAAAAAGTGGGCATGACTCCATGGATGACAAGCTGCGGGAAGCAATGTTCAGATGGTTCGGGCACGTTCAGAGGAGAAGCCCAAATGCCCCAGTAAGGAGGTGCGAGCGACTGGCTTTGGTGGGTACGAGAAAAGATAGAGGGTGGCCTAAGAAGTATTGGGGAAAGGTGATCAGGCAGGACATGGCGAAAGTTCAGATTACCGAGGACATGGCCCTAGACAGAAAGTTGTGGAGGTCGAGTATTAAGGTCGTAGGTTAGGAGGTAGTTGTGCATATTTCTATGGCGCACCGGAGTGAGGCTAGTCTATTAGATTTTATCTTAGAATGGTAGTGGTTAATGTTGAGTTTACATTACTCTTTCGTTCTTCATAGTGTCGAGCTTTATCTACTGGTTATTGTTTATCTTTTTATCTATGTTCTTGTGATGTTGCTATTTCTTTTTATGATTTTTATTGATGGTACGAACATATATTTTTTGTCTTCTTTTCGTCTTTTTGAGTCGAGGGCCTATCGGAAACAACCTCTCTACCCCCTCGGGATAGGGGTAAGGTTTGCGTACACACTACCCTCCCTAGACCCTACTAGTAGAATTTCACTGGGTCGTCGTTGTTGTAAGGTAGTTTGATTCAGTATTTTGAAGTTTGTAATGTTAAAAGTTTATGAGGTAAAAGCCTTGTGAGCTATGACACTTGTATTGCTATATAAACTTCTCAATAAGGGTAAAATATGCAAAATAAAAATAAATACTATGATAATGTAAATTTATAATTAATTGATAAAATTTACGTATAAATCACATGCCATCCACTTATTAGTTTTGGTGCTTAATTAGATACAAGTATTTGCTCGCACCAATGACCTATTGCATACAAAAATCTTTATTGATACCAATAAAGTATCTATGGAAAACCTTCTTGTGCATGCATTGAATCATGTTAATTTATTACGATTAAGTAAATAATTAATAAAATACGTATTAATTAATTATTATTAGAGTATGACCTTTTTAGGTACCATTAAATTATTGCGTACCTAAAGTACTCTTTTGGATATTCTCAGATAGGAAGCATATTAATGTTATGTAGGTATAAATTGCTCTTTGAAATTAAAGAAAGTGCAAACAAAAACAAAAATAATAGATTTAGCCCC